AATTCGGCGTTGGTATGACACGCGCCTGTTCCACAAGATAAGCTTTGGTAAAGGGGACCAACCGACAAACGTGAAGACGGCAGGCCTAGATGATCGGCGTACGATCTAAATGCAAAAATAACTCACGCACTGCGAAAGGCACAAATTGACACTTATGGATCCCCACGATGGGCTGTCACAGTCGCCAGGAAATAAAACAAGAACTTGAACCAATATGGGCGTTATAGAAGAAGCCTAGAGTATACCTCTGCCTCCTATGAAGTTATAGAACTTTTATAATGCCCTTGGTAGTGTATTTGCTCAGTGAATCTTATACTGAATTGAGAGTGCACATACACCGTCATTGCATGCGTCTCATATATGTCTGGTACACACGACAATTCACAAACCTATGGCGCAGATAGCTAGGTAGCATGAACATTCGCCAAGCACAGATTGTACGGATCGGCTATCTTCAGGGATGCAAATCCTGGCACACAAATACGATGGTGACTCCGTGACTTGGGCTTTTTCTGTTTCGAGCGAGCGACCACACTAACCGATAGAAAACCGAAGCGAACAAGCACGCAATGCAGAACGATAATACAATAGTGTACTACTGAGTTGACCAACGGTTGAAAGTTCACATGACAACGGTTGATACTTCACATGGCAACGGTTGGTAGTTCGCATGGCAACGATTGGTGGTTCGTACACGTACGTAGCCGTGACACTCAATGCTTTCAGACAATTGAGTCCAGTATGTGTGGCACATTTTTGTTGGTTTGATGCACAACATTTGGATCAGCATGTCACGATTAAGTGGATATGCACAGCGCATACAACAGTCAATGCACGCTATCCAGGCCTCAATACGCGACCTCGTGGATACAGGCGTTAATTCTAAGTGTTTATTCGAAGTATGACTTTAACTGATTTATCTCGTTTCAAATAAAAGTTTTTACCAACTACTTGTCTTTCTCAAACACAGTGGTGATAGCCAGCATCAGAGCACATCCGCACGAGGACGCGAGCATATCCATTGCTACATCATCGAGCCCACACGTGCGTCCTGGAGTGTAGTACTGAATGAACTCTTTCACTAGCGAGTGGGTTAAAAGGAGGATCATACCTGTAGTGTAGATAGGAGCAGCTTCTTTTGTAGCTTAAATAGAATACAAGTGCAGTGAATATATTATTCCTCGTCGTAAATGTTTTAAACGGCAATGCAAATACACTTTGAAGCGCTTAGGTATGACTATAAAGATGGGCCTGGGACAGCCTGAACATGCAGTAGATGCCAAGTCCGCTCCCACTACAAACATAGAAGGATATCATGCATTTGCATTTAATCATAACAAGTACTTACCATAAACTATGCTGCGATTACGCGTGTCCGATCCAAGCAAAGGCGCTGTGAGACTCGCAAAGACAATGGTCCCCAATGTACCATACGCTATAAAGTGCATAAACAGGTCTCTCCTCACACATCCAAACACATACGACGGTAGCTGATTCAGCCCTGTAGGCATATTTTTTAACGTTAGTGCTATTCATAAGAATCTAGTTGATGTAAGGTGTATATCAGACTAAAGGGGGCACTCACGTTGTTGGGAGTGATTGTTGTATTGGCACAATTTCAAGTCAGAACATACGCCTATTACGAATCGTGAAAAACAAGATCGCACAAGATGTACGCACCACGAGCAACCATGTTGGAGTAGTAAAAGGATAACTATTGTGGCTCAGTCTCACAGTCAATCTCAAGTACTAGTTTATGTTGACTACACACTTTGATGTAATAATGACAGCCACTGTAGCACTAAATGTGCGTGGTGCACGTGATAGTCTCCATAGCAACTACGGCGGAGTAGTGGTGGATGGATTGTCTCGGCTCAGGCTCAAGTAATAGAGAAAATTGTTGTACATATTTTATATATTTCAATACCAGTAACTTGAAGTGCGTAAACGACTCACCTGGTGAAAGCATGTCTGAATAGGAAGGACAGACATTCATACTGTTCAATACCCAGCTTTATAGTACACTTGGTACGTTTACTGCTGCATCATGAGCTTGCATAACCCGATACCACCAAGTACACCATTTACGTAGTTCATATGTACCAGTAGCAGACACTTTAGGTGCGTACATGAACAAGAAACACTCACCTGGCGGGACTATGACGGAGTAGTAGAGGATAAACAAGGACACTGCCAAGGCTGTACCAGCTATGATACGTTGATATTTAACAAGCGTATCACACAGTGTATGTTGCAAGCCTTGCAGACTTGCACCTTGTTTACGCATTCGCTATCGAAGAGCAATAAAAAAATCGGTGCCTGATTTCGAAGTAAATCGACTTGGTTAGTTCTACTACGTGAGTAGCGACCGCTTATTATGGTATAACTCCTGTATGTGAACAGTAACGTCTACTTCATTGCTATAGTTTGCATTGCTTTTAAGAATTTTGGGGCGCAACAATTTTGAGTGTTTGTATTGAATGAGTCGGAAAAAAGAACCCTAGAACTAATGAGATACATGCTTCCTTAGAACCCTAAATTGTGATTATGTATGCACGAATGTATATGAATATGTATTTATGTATGTATTGATTTATGAAACATACATACATATGTAAAATCATACATACACACATACATACATAC